CTCACTCCCCATCCCCCGCCCATTAACTCTCTCTCTAACTTGGCACATTTTCTCATCCTTCCATACATCTTAAAGCCACCCTTCCTCTTTTTACAACCTATATGTCCTGTCTCATGAGTGCCCTCACTTCCACATATTCTTTCTGGCATTACGAACATCTCCCTCCTTGGTGTCTCTAGTCCTTCATTTTCAAGTGAAGTGCCTAGCATAGAGTAGATGCTCAGTAAATATCTGATGAATGACCAAAGCTCCATCTTCAACTACTTGTTGGACATATTTACTTTCTCATCCCATTGTTACCACAAAATTCACAAGTCTAGAACAGAAATCCTAAACTTCCTACCAGATCTACCACTTCCTCATTACATTCCAATCTCTTTCAGATGGATCCTAATTCTCCCAGTTCCCTATATTCAACACCACAAAGGCTTTAACTTTTCCTTCTGAAACTAGCTAATTATTAAGCCTGGTAATTAATTTTTTTCTTGATAGTACTAAACAGGAAGGGAACCTGTCCGTGGAAGGCCCATTGTGTCTGCATAACTATGATTGTCCCATTGAAATAGCCTCTGTAGCCAGGCGCAGTAGCTCACGCCTGTCATCCCAGCACTTTGCGAGGCCAATGTGGACGGATCGCTGAGTCCAAGAGTTGGAGATCAGCCTGGGCAACTGTAAAATATTGTCTCTACAAAAAAACATAAAAATTACCCTAGCATGGTGACGTGCACCTGTAGTTCCAGCTACTCTGGAGGCTGAGATGGGTGGACTGCTTGAACCCAGGAGGTCGCGGCTGCAGTCAGCCATAATCGCGCCACTGCACTACAACCTGGGTGACAGAGTGAGACCCTATCTCAAAAAAAAATTAGAAAATAAGAAATAGTTTCTGTGGATCAAACTACCCCTCATCTCTCAATCCTCCACTTGGATTCATTCATCCAATTTTTGAGATTTCTCTTCCTATATATAACTTGGTACATCGAGTTGCCCTTACTCAGAAATGTTTAATGGCTAGTTCAAAGGCCAAAATCCTTCCCTGACATTTAAGGACAGCCATGATCTGTACTCAATCTAGTTTTTCCGATGTTATCTCATATTATTTTTCTAGAGGAATTCTCTATGACAGCCCAAATGACTTTATCCTGTTCTCAAAGATTGTGTGTGTGTGCGCGCGCGTGCTCACAAATGCAGTGTACCCTTCCTTATTTATATGGTATAGATACGCTCCTTGACTTAAAAATGTGATTATGTCCCAATAAACCTATCATAAGTTGAAAATATTGTCAGTTGAAAAGGCATTTAATACAGTATACCCAACCTACTGAACATCATGGCTTAGCCTACCTTAAATGTGTTCACAACATTTACAGTAGCCTACAGTTAAGCAACATCATCTAACACAAAGCCTATTTATAACAAAGTGATGACTATCTCATGTAATTTACTGAATACTGTATGGAAAGTGAAAAACAGAATGGTTGCGTGAGCATCATCGTAAAGTCGAAAAATCCTAGTCTGTCTATCTTTGCTTGGGATTTTTCCTTGCTTAGAAATGCCCTGCCCAGAGTGCATCCTAACAAGACTTTGGGGTCAGCTTACTTTCTGGAAGCCTTCAATTCTTCCAGTCAGACACTTCTATGATACTTACAATGAGTTCACAGATTTTGCATTATTTGATATTTCATGTGCTAGCTTTAACAACTCAACAAGACTTTAAGATCTTTAAGTGTAAAACATATAATATACTTCAGTATGCTTCCCAGAACCCAGTGATTAAATTCACCAATGCTGGGCAATGTTTTCCACCACTTAGATAAAATTCTTCAATACTGTTCATTAATCCTTAAACTCCATTTCTACTTCTCATCTCAAATAACAACTATATTTAAACTATACCACCTTAGTCATATTTAAAGATATGTGAAGGCTAATTTTAAAGTTCTTTAACAGAAGCTTTAAAACTTCTTTAACAAGAGACATAGCATAAAGCCTAACATTTAATACTCTAACTCAACATTTAACTTTATTCTTCCACCAACATCTTATGAAAGATTTATTAACAATATTCTAAATGAAAATTTGTCCTCAAAAATACTATTGTAGGTTCTAAGGGGAAATATCTTAAAACTAAGTACAATTTACAGCTGAAAACTTCAAAGAAAACAGGTTTCAAATCATTAGAGTACATATTTAAGTGGAAAGAAAAAGGTTTATTGGTTTATTTTTTTAAAGTTGTACTTTAAATATTTTCAAGGGTTCAGCTACTGGTATGGAAAATTCCTTTAGTTACACACTAAAGAAGCAAGCACAAAATAAGTACAAAAAACTTCATACCCTCAACATTTGGTGTAATACGGCAAAAATGATCATTACCACCGTACTAAGAAATATCAACAATATGAGTTTGAATAACTAACTCAGAAGGAAGAGTTTGAACTGGACCAAATCCTGGGTTTTCTTTCTTCACTCCAAGTTTCTTTTCTATTTTAAACTAGTGGCAACAGAAATTTCTTTGTTTGAAAGTCAGGAATGCTGGAAGTCTTAAGTGATAGAACAGGTAGCTGGTCTTCTACTTCACGTCTCTCCTCAGAGGGAGAAAAAAAATGTGGATAAAGTAATTTTGTTTTTATTTCTGGAAAAATCATTTTTCCCATCAATCTTCATAATTCTCTAAAATAAACTGTTAAACAGTTATAGGCTGGCCGACCACCTCACCCTGATTTGTGGAAACACCATACAGTAATTTCAAGAACACATGGCTAACTCAAGTTTTTTAAGTCTAAAAGTCGCTCCTAACGCTTTCATAAAACTCTAGGAGCATTTTACAAGCTCGCAATGGATTTCTGCATCTCATCCGCAATATTTTGCTACATAACAATAACAGAAATAGTCTAGGTTCAAGAGTCACACTGAGTGCTCTCAAATTTATTATTAGGGTATTGTACAATTTCAACTATGGAAAAAACTATGTGTTGCACGAAGTGCTTAAGAAGTATATTTAGAAAGAAAATGGAAGAATTTACCATTTCATTAAGATGAAGAGAATGATCAAAAAATATTAATAATGCCTCTCTTCTTTGCTAACATTGAGACGTTTGCCCTACGCAAATTAGGCGGGACAAATTAATCAGAACTCAGAGGGCATACAGTGAAAGGCAGAGTTTGTAATTTAAAGTATGTGATTCACATTTAAATCCACATTAATTAGGATGCAAATATTCAAGAGATAGGCAACTCAGATCATTAAACAAAGCAGGGAGCAGCACTCAGAAATACTGAACAGCAAGCAGTTCCTAAACCATATAAATTCAATAAGGTCAAGACAAATAAAGATCGGAAACTATTTTCTCCTCAGCACACAGAGTTCCCCAGAATCACAAACTTGAGAACGGGAGGCACTCACACTGCTGACGCACACACGCAGGCTCACGCACACAATGGAGCCAGAAGCATGGAGACCCTCAGAGACAAACCTCACGTGTGCATCGTTCCACTCTCCATAGGATGGAAAGAAGAGCACGGTGGGAAAATGTCACTTTTTCCCAGATCAAACAGCAAAACTGTACTTAGTATTGCGAACTATGAATTCCCTTGATACAATCAAAGGCAGAACTGAATGAATGGGGTGTGGGGCAGGGTGTGTGGGGAAAAGGGGGGAAAGAGAGGGGAGGCCGCCTGAGAGGAAGAAAGTTTGAGGCATTTTGCAAGGCTTGAATGGATTAATCTTTTTTAAGCCCTACGATTTCCTTTCTGTCTCTTTATTTAATATACACTAACTTCCTGAGACTCAACCCAGACTTGCCCTAAGTGCAGCTGAAATGTCTGATGTTTAAGACACACCAGGAGTTCTACTGCACAAATGATCCCTTTCTGGGAAATAATTTTAAAATCAGTTTTGTGGGCATGCATAAAATGAGAACACTGATAATAAGTAAATTAAGGCCCAAGTCTACAGTAAATATAAGCTATTTGCTACTCTAAACATTTTATTTCTGAACTTGAAAAAAGTTTGTTTTCACATTTTTAGATCATGAGGGACTGAGGCTTTAGTGTTTTTAGCCTCTGAACTATTCATAAATGGGTTGTTTGGGCTATCTAGCAAAGGAAAAAAAGTGAATACTTTAAAAAGTTGGTAGATTTGGATAATATTTAGCAGATAGCCTAAAGTGCACCGATTTAAAAGCATAACACCATGAAAAGTTTTCCAACATAGCTTCCCTTTAATAAAATAAAAATATAATATACCCAGCCCAGGGGGCTGGGCTGGGTAGACTTTGAGTAAGAAGTTGGGTCCCATGCAGTAGTCGCTTGTCCAGGACAAAAAGCTTACTTTACCCACACGTAAGTCATCTTGTGGGAAAGGCACGGAGTGGGGCTGGCAACTCATCACCTCAGCGACTCTGAACAGGACCAACATTTCTCGCTACACATTATGGGCTGGGCCAGGTCGGGGAGCCAGATACAACTTTGCCCTTAAGCAGCAGTACCAAAAGGGAGAAAGAGGTCACCTCTCTCTCTTAGCCCTGCGCACACAGGAAGAGCCCAATTCAAGCCGCCGCCGACACCCCTGGTCTTGCCCCGCCCCAGCTTGAGTGCGTGTTTGGGGTGGGGGTTGTAGGCCACTCACTACTCGCGTTTTACCCCACAAATTCCAAGGCACTTTCATGTCTCCCAGGTTAAGTTTTCCCCCCAATCCGCAACCGTGCCAAGCTCCCCAGGCGCAGGTGTCTGTGGCTCTGGCCTATTTTTATACCCCACAGCCGCCCTCAATCCCCACCTAGTTGCGCGCTCCAGTCCCGCCTCGCCTTCCCAGCGAAGAGCACCACCTAGCCTACACACCAGGAAACACCTCAAGCTCTACTCCCAGGTCACCTGGCCAGAGCGACCGGCCCAGCCCTCAGGGGAGCCCTGGGGCCGTCCCTTGTCGTCGGTGCCCAGCACCAAGAGCGCCCCGGGCTCCCAAGCAGTCACGTGGGCGGCGGGGGCGGCCTGCGCTTCCTCACCTGCATCCCAGGCACTTGGACAGCCACCGGTGAGTGGGCCATGGAGGCGACTGTAGCCTCGCTCGGCTTCTGCGGCGGTGGCGCCTTGAGTTCGGACTGGCTCCTCCTCCAGGGGTAGTTCGGCGGCCCTGCCAGGCGTGTCGATAGGGGCCTGGAAGGACACACAGAAGTGGGGTTACTGGGCTGGCGGCGCGTAGCCCGGGCTGGGAGGTGGGCTGTTTGCGGCGCGGCTCCCTAGGACTCAGTCTACCTTTCTGGCGCCCGCCCGCCACTGAAGCAGCCGCCTCCGCTGCTGCTCGTCTTCCTGAACGCCGAGGGCTGTGAGTGGTGGTGGCTGGGACCTGGGCTCGAGTGATGCCGCTCCTCTGCGCCTCGCCGCTTTAGGAAGAGGAGGTGGAGGCGTCTCAGCCACCCGCCTGCTAGCCTGGCCCGGGAGGCGGCTGGGGGCGGTTCCGCCGTTGGCCCTGCCCCCGCCCCGCAGCCGGGCGGTGTCGCGGGAGCCAAGGCTCCAGGCAGCGAAGGGGTTTGGCTGGGGTTGTTGGAGTCTGAGAAGCTGGAGACTCTCCCGGCATAGGGTGAGGAGAACCCGGCGACCGGGAGACCTGGAACACTGCTGGGCCTGGGAAGAGAATGGAAGAGTTTGAGAAACCCTGAGGGTATCAGGGCGTCCTAAATGCGACCACGTTGCAGGCAGGCGTGCCAGGCTGGGGCACACGCACCCTCTGAGACGACTTGAGTTGAAACTTGGGAGTGTTGGAAGTGTTTCTTGGCTCCCCGGCCTGGCCGAGGACGGGATCACAGATAGCGCGGAGTCAGCTCCCCCCCACCGCCCCCACCGCTTTTTCCCGCCATCTGGTCTCCTCAGCTGGGGGCTGCTCCTCTGGGCAGACCCATAGTCACACTCATGCTTTCCGAGTTCCCCGACCCCAGACATGGTTCAGATGACTTCTAACCTAAGGTTCCCCCTACCTCTTTGGCTATCACTTGCAGGACGGCCAAACTGGGACTTCTCTCTACCACAAGTTCTGCACGTGTAAAGGCAGAGGAAAATTGGAAAGCAGATGATAGATCAGCAGAAAAATTAATGAGGATAGTAGAGCCTTGGGAAATGAGATTGGATCGTCAGCAGTACAGGTTATTGAATTCAGCATACACAGCAGCCGTTTGGGTAACTCCCTGCCTCCGCCGCATTTTAAGTTCCACTCCCGGAGGGAGACAGGCTTTTCTAAGAGTACTCTAACAGCGACAGTAACACTGGTAATAATAGCAACAGGAATTTCACTATGAAGGGACCTTTGGGAACACATAAGGGGTTAATTGCTTTTTAAAAACCTAATAGTCGAATGCCAGTTTAAAATGAAGATGAAGTTCCTCACTTTGAAGTTTGTTTTGGGTCTCTAACCACCACACGGTGGGGGGCCTCTAGTGGTAAACAGTAGTTTCTCTTCTTCCTTTTGAATCTTTTTCAGAGAATAATATATGATTCTTATCAATATCATTATCATTAATGGATGTCATTTTCCTTGTGCCAGGGACTGCTAAGTGCTTTCTGTGTGTTATTAATACCTTACTGAACCTTTACAAGGGCCTTCTGGGGTCTTATTGATTTCCCCCTACTTTACAGATGAACAAAAAGGCTCAACCAGGTTAAATATTTTGACCCAAATGTCACACAGCTGGGAATTCAGACGCAGGTGCCTGTGCCTGGTGATAAACTTACTACTTACTCTGTGGTTTCTCTTTGTTTTTAATGATGATAAAGGCTACACCTGCAGTTTCCCCCAGTCCAGCCCTTGGCTATTTCTAACCTAATGGTAGACTCCAATCTAGTCTTGATTTCCCACCAACTCAGCTCACAGCATTGCCAGCCTGATCAGAAACCTGCAGCACCACCTAAACTTTTAACGTCCCTGGAAATCCGACGGTTCTTTTGACCCCTCAAAAGCACAGATTTTGATCTTGCAAGTCTGGAGTGGGCCCAAGATTCGGCAATGCCAACAAGCTCTCACATGGTGATGATACCTAGCTCACACTTTTAAGTTGCAAGGATCTGAATCAAACTTCATCAATTAAAACCTGTCTCAAGTCTCACCTCCATTGACCCTTCCTAGTTGCTCCAAGCCCTCCCTCAAATTCCTCCAATGTGAGCAGCGCTCACACTGTAGTCCTTTCTTCATATTTCATTTGCTTTTTCTGCCCATATTAGGTCCTTGAGGCCAGAAATCCAGCTTCTCTTACATGAGAATTATTCAGGTAGAATGGCAGGACTCTGAGGGCAAGCTTTTTATGCGTGTTGTCCATTGCTGTATCTCCAGGCTAGGGGCATCGCAAATAGTAGGCCCTCAATAAATAATTCTCGAATGAATGAATGAACTTCTTTTGAATTCTTCACTGAGGTTACTAGGTGCATAATATGTACACTATATGTTTTATCGCTGTCAGGTTAAACCCGTAGGCATTGCTCTTACTGAATATTTCAATTGTTGACTTTATTGTGTGTTACATCTTTCATTGTTTAGTCTCCAAAATTCTTTCCGGCTACTTTAATTTCACAACTACTTATGACCAAGTTGTATAATTTTGATAGATAAGTAAATTAAATGTATCAGAGAAATGACCTTCTCTGACATCATTCTGGGCTGCAGTTACGTAACTATGTGGAAGAATGAAAGCTTAGTGCTGAGACCTGGACTACAAAGACATTTCCTGAAAGGCATTGCTTTTGAGATCTTAGTGAGTTTTTTTAGCCTTTATTTAGGTGTACTGCTATTAAATAAAGTATCAGTTGTTGTTATAATTGATAGAGATCAGTTGAGTTTTTAAATGGGATTCTTTGTGGGCTTTTAAATGATTTTTCCTCTGTGTGTGTCTATAAACAAAATCTTGTGAAGGTGTCAAAATTTGAAAACAATTCCAATTTTATGAGCATTAGGAACTTTTTTTCCACTTTGAACTGCATTATTTCTCAAATTCTTAATTTCAATAAAATGACAATAAATTGAAGTATGCTTTTGTTACACACATGCACAAAGGAAACTTGAATATTTTACTTCAAAATGTCAGTCCAGGCTGGGCCTGGTGGCTCATGTCTGTTTTCCCAGCACTTTGGGAGGCCGAGGTGGGTGGATCACCTGAGGTCAGGAGTCCAAGACCAGCCTGGCCAACATGACAAAACCCCATCTCTACTAAAAATACAAAAATTAGCTGGACGTGGTGGTATGCGCCTATAGTCCCAGCTACTCTGGAGGCTGAGACAGGAGAATCGCTTGAACTTGGGAGGCAAAAGTTGCAGTGAGCTGAGATCACACAACTGTACTCCAGCCTGGGCCACGGAGTGAGACTCCGTCTCCAAAAGAAAAGTCAGCCCAGAATCTGACAATCCATTACAGTATATTCCTATGGTTTAATGAAAAAAAGTTTCTTTTCTTTTCTTTTCTTATTTATTTATTTATTATTTTTTTTCGAGATAGAGTCTTGCTCTGTCACCCCCGCTGGAGTGCAGTGGCGCAACTCGGCTCACTACAACCTCTACCTCCCAGGTTCAAGCAATTCTCCTGCCTCAGCCTCCCGAATAGCTGGGACTATAAGCATGCGCCACCATGCCCAGCTAATTTTTGTATTTTTAGTAGAGATGGGTTTTCACTATGTTGGCCAGGCTGGTCTTAAACTCCTGACCTCATGATCTACCCACCTCAGCCTCCCAAAGTGCTGGGATTGCAGGTGTGAGCCACCACGCCCGGCTGGAAAGTGTTTCTTGAGGAGAGATACATCTTATGCTTTTTGGTCACAGAGTGTAACGTAGCACCTCAGGAATTGGCAGCTGCTTGATTGATGTGACCAGAATGGCTGTGAATACTTAATAACCATATAAATAAAGCAAGATTATACACAGATTGGGTAAAGTTTTGGGTAAGACTATACATAGATTAGGTAAGATTAATGAATTTCAAGTTAGACAGTGTTCTTGAGGCCCTAAAACTTAGTAATTTAAATTTGGCACCTGGTTTCAATTTCCTGACATTTGTCATACCCTCTGTTCAGGTTGAGCATTCCTTATCCAAAATGCTTAGGACCAGGAGTGCTTCAGATGTTCAGATCTCTCTCTTTTTTTTTTTTTTTTTTTTTTTTTGGAGTTTGGAATAATTTTATATACATAATATCTTGGGGTATGGGACCCAAGTCTGAACATGAAATTCATTTATGCTTCAGATATACCTTATAAACATAGCCCAAAGATAGTTTTATGCAATATTTTTAATTTGTGAAACAAAGTTGGTATGCACATTGAACCACCAGAAAGCAAAGGTGACAGGTGTGGAATTTTCTACTTGTGGCATCATGTCAGCACTCAAAAAGTTTCAGATTTTGGAGCATTTTGGATTTCACATTTTCAGATTAGGGATGCTCAACCTGTATTAAATATTTAACTTTACTCGTGTTTACAAATATTTCCTGAGTTGACTGATTCTTAGTTGAAGTAGATGGAAAAGTAGTAGTAGGTAGATGGAAATGGCCAAACTTTAGTATAGGCAGCAATGGGATAAGGGCATGTTTTTCAAACAGGAACAGTTTTGCTTCCTGGAGAACATTTTTGGGTATCACAAATAGGAAGGAAGGTGCCACTGGCATCTAGTGAGTAGAGGCCAGAGATGCTGCTAAACATCTTACAATGCGCAGGACAGTCCCCACAACAAAGAACTATCCAGTCCACAACGTCAATGGTGATAAGGTTTGAGAAACCATGCTCCACACTTTTTGCATTAGGAGCGTTACTAACCAAGAAACAGACTTGGGAATCACTGTTCTCTGAAGACTTTAGCTTACTGATGTGGCCGGGACCAAAGAAAGAAAAGACTCATAAGATACTGGATCACATCAAGTGGGCTATGGAAACAAAGCAGTATTCTTATTTTACCCTTGTACTGAACCACAGATCATCTGCCCCCCAAAAGTGAATACAACTCAATGAAAAATAATGTTGAACAGAAAATAACTTTAAGTAAAAAATTAATGATTTTTAAAAAAGTTAATCCCTGAGCATATTCTAATATACCAGGCATTACCTAGCCTTCCAATACATTAACTCATCATGACAAATTTGACCTCTTACTCTAATTTACAGAACTTACAGGTGAGATCTCACATTTTGGACTTACACATTTTGAGCCTACTGACTATGTTGGAATGGATAAAATGTATACATGTATGGAATATACTGGCAAATTGATATACTTTCCTGAATATTTGAAACTAAAGAAAATTATCTGGGTAATTCTAGAAGCTCACCATTCAGTGATGGGAATATTCTGATTCAGGCTGCTAAGTCTACTTATATTTGGAAGTATAACATTCGAGAGCCATTTTTTATTTTAATAAAAGCATAGATGATACCTCAAATTTCCTCTTTACTTTTGTTGGGCATCAAGTTGGAACC